GTAGGAGGCCTGAACTGCAGGTTTCTCTTCGAAAAATCGACAGTTTTCAAGCAGTACATCCTGCACGAAGCGCACCAAAAACCATGTTTTGCTCAAGCGCGCGATGACGTGATTGACGCTAAACCAGATGTTCATCGCCGTTTTCACCCCTCCTCGTTACACTGAAATCCATATGAACAGCTTGCTTTCCAGTCTTTTGCTGGAAAACACTTGGGTGGCCTTTTAGGTTGGTTTTTGGACTTTTTCTTTTTTGCCTCTGCACTTCTCAACTGATTCCCTGTTGTCAGTTGGGATCGAACTTACCCTTTTTCATCTATTATTTCCCCCACCCCCCCTCTCCTCCAGTGGGTACCTGGTTGCCTACGTACCATAGGCGGAGCATATGATCCCAGCCGTGGGATAGAGTGCGTTCCTACTTAGCGTGAGCATTTCGGTGGGTTCAAAAGATTTCCAGCGACCAAGAAAGTATAGGTATCGATTCGGCGTAATGAACGTACGTCAGGGCTGCTGGATCGATACCTATGCTTTCTTGGTCGCTCAAAATACTGACGCAAAGTTTGAACGTTTTCTCAGATGTTCCCATGTGCAAAGCAGCCAGTCAGCTAGACAACCCTGTTTGGAAATCTTGATTTTCACTACTATACTTACAGTTTTGTGACTTCCTAGTTCCCCGAAGAGATGATCAAGCATTGAACACTTGTGGAGCGTTTCGCTGGAAAAAGCGGCTGCGCTCGCTTGCATCTGCTCTCGGGCGGTTTTCAGCGTTGCAGAGATTTTGAAGAGGGCCACGGGGTTTTTCTCCCGCTCAGAGCTTTTGATGACGAATTATGTTCAGATACGAAAGTAAACTACGGGATGTGCTGAAATTGCGACACGCCGGCGATTTGCAGTACGTTGAAGAGCAGGATTTGACCGGGATAGGTGAGTAGTAACCGTTTCCTTGATTTTCTCTATTTTTTTATAATTTAATTTTCTATACTTTGTTATAGTATTTTGGTTACCAGTTCACTACGATTTTTATTATTTATATCTTTTTGATTTTCCTTTCTATTTATTTCTTTATTTATTTATTAAGTGTAGAGGCTTGGGCTGGAAACAGTATGTAGGGCACAAATATTTACTCTAGGCGATATGAAGGTTATAATCAGAGAACGTCCTATTAGGGAATGGCGACCAAATACGACCCCAGCGACCAAACCCCAGCGGGGGGGTCGTATTTGGTCGCTGGAGGGAGGGGGTCGAATTTGGTCTGAGAGAATTTTTTGAAAGTTGATTTTTCGGTCGTTATTCACATCGCTAAGAGAATTCTAGTTGTAAGGGGAGGGGGGGGGCTGTAGCCCTCTACAGAAATTTGCCTCGTTCTGAAAAAATTTCTTTGGTTGTTGGTTTTCGTGACTTTTTCCGTTTCACAAGTGTTGTATACCCGTCACGCTGGATTTTGAGGTATTCAAGAGTTCTAAAAGTAAGGAGAAGCTTGTAGAAGGCTTGGAGAAAAGTAAACAAGAAAGGCAAGACAGTGGGTAGGATGGGGAGAGGGGGGGGGTCGTATTTCCCAAAATTTTCCCTAGCGGCAGGACGTGTTCTGGTCATAGCACGCAACAGTACGCTATAAAAGGACTGTCGCTCTTCCTTCCCTCGATAATTCATTCATTTATTCATGTGTCCATTCACTGATTCATTCATTCGATCATTCAGTTTTTCCTTCCTTCTTCATTTCCATTGTCTGTCCTCTTCTATTCAAATTAATCTGCCCATTATTCATTCATTCATTCATTCATTCATTCATTCTTTATTGTTTGTTGTGTTTCTATCCAATTTTCTTTTTTCCTTCTTTTTCCATTTACATTTATGTTTATTTATTCGGTCATTCCATTAGTTCAAGTCATTCATTCATTACTTCATTCATTCATTCATTCATTCACTCTTTCTGTCCCTTTTTTTTTTCTTTTTTCTTTCCTTTTTTCTTTCGTTCGTTCATTCCTTCGTTCCCTTTCTTTCTTTTCTTTTTTTCTTTCCTCCCGTTCTTCCTTCCTTACTCTTAGCTGCGTTTTTTTTTCGATCGTTATCACTATCGCCTAGAGCTTCTAGACCGCGGCGGCTTATTCTGTGACATGGATCCTGAACTAAACATTGGCTCTCGGACTTCTTTTTCATTTTACGGTCATCCACGTGTAAGATATTTGGAAAATCCCTGTAGTAGCGGAAGAATGGGTTCTAGTTAGCTCAGCATTGAGAAACTTACTCATTCGCCTTTTCTTAGTCGGTCTGAAATGATTGTCGTTTGGGTATAGAACATTTTGCATGATTCACCTGGTTACTCATTCGTTTTTCGGTTCCTTACACTGTCCTCTACTGGTGGAAACAATGGCACAAACAACTGCGAAGGTCTCATGAATCGCCACTGAAAATCAATAAATATGAAATCAGGTTTTCTGTAGTTATGGGTTCAGAACCTTCCAGACAGAGTACATCGTCGCTTTGTGTGAAATCCTTGCTAATTACGACCCCTCCCCCTTCCCCTCCCCTCCCCTTCAACCTCCGATCCACTACCCCACGATTTCTCTTTCGCTTCCACCCCCTCCCCCTTTCCTGCTCTGCAGAACCTACCTACCCTGTAACCAACTTTTTCCAAAAACTCTGCCGTCGAGCAGGGTAAAGGAGGGACTGAGCAGGCACCTCCCGACCAACTATTAGAAGTAGTAGTTTCGCTGCATCGCCTACTGGGGCATAGGGGGTTATACCGCGTCTGGAACGACAAAAGTCAGCAACAGGGAAAATTCTTCTCGGGCAAAGTACGATCTCCCCCCCCCGCCCCCACCAGCAATGATGCAGTCTGCTTCCTGCACTTCCATGGGTGTCCTGGAGGGAACCATGGTTGAATGCCCAGTAAAACTAGTTTAGCGCGGAAAATGTGGTGTTTCAATCAGGTTACCTCTTATAAAGGTGGTTTCTGCCTTTTCTCCCAGGACCACCCATACTTTTCCAGTTGCTGTTCAGTTACTGTTCGGTCTCTCATGTTTACTGAGGTATCGTTTGTTATGAGGGTCCATAAAAGTGTCCGGCGCTGTTCGGTCAAGGAGGGCATTTTGCACTTTTGCTGGTCTCCTTTGTTAGTACTGTTAAACGACTCACATTGGTGAAACCTGCAGACTCTTGACAGGTGTGAAAGAAGTTCATGCTGCTGCACAGCTCTATGGGCACTCACGGTGGCATCGGTAGCGGTCGATAGGAGCCAACTATCAAATGCCCCCTTTCCCCACCCCCCCCCCCCCCGCCCACCAGCTGGGAAGATAATTCGCTGAGTATGTGTGAGCGTGTGTTTGTCACGACATTCATAGCGCGTCCCAGCAACAGTGGGACTTTTACTCCAGAGATTTCATGCAGCGGATGGGACGGGACCGCTAGGTAGCAGCGTGATAACAACTGATAGGGGCTGATAAGAAGCGCAAAAACCCTGAAACTGAGTTTTTGTGCGAAAAATGAATTTTGTCGTGTTCCAAACGTTTGATCTCATATCAATTCTGGTTTTACCAGGTTTCTCCTGATTTGGTCGTTGCTTTTCATTTAGAAGCTCATTCTCGCATACCGAAAGGGAGTAATCCACAATGAATGTCCCTTCCTTTCCTGGGCATCCTTCTCCCCAATGCGATGAAGCGGAGGGTGCGTCACGAGGAAGGTGCACTAGTTGCGAGTCTCCTCCCATCAGAAAATCACGGAATTGCCCTCAAACTGACCTCTTTGTTTTCTTTGTGTTTGCCTTATTCCAGAAAGCTCCTCACTCACTGAAGTAGATTTCTGCTGCTACTCCTCCTCCTCGCAATGTCGCCAAGCATCGCTCGCTGCTCTGTTCCTCCTGATCTGACGAGTTGTCGCTTCTTGTCGTCCTCACTCTACCTGCTGCCATTCTTTATCGCTGCTGGCATCAGCAGGTGTTTCCCGTTTTCCAGATGTTTTCTTTTTTTCTTCGTCTTTTCCATCATTTCCTATTCAGTTCCAGTCTGAGCAACAATTGACACGTTATCTTCGGAATCTACAGTCACCTAGCAGGTCCATGTTT